GAGGAGAGTTGTGGTGTGTGTGTGTGTGTGTGTGTGTGTGTGTGTGTGTGTATGTGTGTGTGTGTGTGTGTGGTGTGTCAGATGGAGCTGGCCGGCCAGCCATGTAGCCAATCAATGAACTCCACATTCCGTGAAGAGATCCTGTCCTCAAAACAAGCAAGCAAACCAAAGCAGGGGTCGGTGAAATGGCTCCTTCCGTCACTAAAGGCGGTTTGCTGTCCAGCCTGATGGTCCAAGCTCAAACCTTGGGTAGAAGGAGAGAAGTGATTTCTTTTTTCTTTCTTTCTTTTCTTTTTCTTTTTCTTTTTTTTTTTTTTTGGTTTTTCGAGACAGGGTTTCTCTGTGTAGCTTTGTGCCTTTCCTGGAACTCACTTGGTACCCCAGGCTGGCCTCGAACTCACAAAGATCCACCTGGCTCTGCCTCCCGAGTGCTGGGATTAAAGGCGTGTGCCACCACTGCCCGTCAAGAAGTGATTTCTAAAAAAGAAAAAAAAAAAAATCACCCTCTGACCTCCATGTGTACACTGTGACATGCACACACTATAAATGAATGTTATTTAATTTTATTTTAATTTAAAATTACTTATTATTATTTATTAAAAATTTTTAAAATTGGGGTTGGATGCTTGGCTTTAGTTGTTAGGAGCATGTACTGCCTTTCCAGAGGACCCGAGGTCAGCTTCCAGCACCCACAATCGGTAACTGCTCACAACCAACTCTAACTCCAACTCAGGAGGATCCAACACCTCTTATTGCTTGGCACACCTGTGCTCACTTGCTCACATGCGTGCAAACATACACACAGTAAAAAATAGTAAAAATAAATATTAAGGGCCAGGTGTGGTGGTACAGGTCTTTAATTCCCGCACCTGGGAGGTAGAGGTAGATGGATCTATGAGTTTGAGGCCAGCCTGATCTTCATAAGGAGTTCCAGGACAGCCAGGGTTAGATAGACAGACCCTTTCTCAGAAAAAAAAAAAAAGGAAAGAAAGAAAGAAATTAAAGAAAACAAAACTTGGCATGATGGCACAGGCATGTAACCCCAGAACTCAGGAGGTAAAGGCAGGAGGGTCAGAAACTAAAGGTCATCTTAGGCTACGCAGTGAGTTTGACGCGGGCCTGGGTTAGGTGACCTGTCCTAACCAACTGCTCAACCAGCCACCAACAACATCAAATATCAGTCTGGAAGTTAAAACAAAATAAATAAGCTCTGACCTTAAGGAGTGGAGAAGAGATCTAGTGTAGAAATGATGTGGAAACTGGACTCGCGGAGCCGTACCGTACGGTAACTATAGGGCTCGCCAGCTCTGCATTGTCCTGACTTACACTTCATTTCTCCAGTTCTCCTGAGGTCATGGAGGAGTCAATTTCTCATCCACTGCTCTGCTTTCCTTTTCTTACATTTTAATTAATTAATTTAATGGGAAGGGGCATGTGAGTGTCATGACAGGAATCTGGAGCTCAGAGGACAAAAGAGGACTCTCTTCTCTACCACGTGGGTCCTGGGGATCAATCTTAGGTCACTGGGACTGGCAGCAAGCGCCTTCTTCACATGTTGAATGCGCACCCCACTGCTATGACTCTGAGGGTGTATTTGATTCTGAAAGCGTTTTTATTTCAGTTTTTCCACAGAAAAGTCCATTGAGCCATCCACTTGGCACGTTTTACAGAATGAAACAATCACTTGGAATCTTTTTTTAAAAAAGTACAGGAGCAAAAGTACTGAAGCTATTAACTTTATGAGAATAGGTTTTTAGAAAAGCCGCCTCAGGGTGGCTTGGCTGGCACGGGCTCCCTAGCGGACATCCCCTTCCTTGATTCATCTGCATGGAAAGCTCTGCTCATGTGTCTGCTGGGCAGCTCTGGCCTTCCCCGCCTAGGTGGCCTCTGTCTCAAAGGGTGGGGCTTGAGTCGCAAGGCCCCTAGACACAAAGCTTATGGTTTAACTAGGCATTCTAGGGGTGGAGTGTGGGGGGTGTGATAAACCAATAAAAATAAACTAAAATCCCCTAGATATGCATTGGCATATTGGGAAAATATTTTTCTAGATTTTTTTTTTTTTTTTGGTAATAAGAATCACCGAAGAAACACACTAAAAGTCAAGATACCTAGGAGTCTATCTAAAGAATCAGAACTTTCAAGGAGACTAAACTGAAAATCTATGGTCTTTAGACTTTCAGGCCAAGTCATTTCCATCAGCAAACAAGACACGTAAACATAGTATTGATAGGTATTTATTATTTTGGTTGCCCAGGCACCTACCCCAAAAGACAGCTTTTTTTTGCTTAGAGGCGGGACTAAAAAGACAATACAATCACAGTAATTATCAGCATGGGTTTGAGGGCAGAGCTATCTATTGCTCAGTGGCACAGCTGACTTGCCTGCCATCCACAAATCCCTGGGTTCCATCCTTGGCCCTGTAAAAACAAAGCACCAACATACTCCCAGGCTCTCTGGCAGGAAACCTGCGTCTGGCCTGCGAGGCAGTGGCTGTAGGACCTGGAACCCATGAGTTAGTTAGCCTCTCAGAGCCTTACGTTCATTGGCCATGGAGTGGAGACGACGCTGTGTCTTCCTCACTGAGTCATGCAGATAGAACTTAGTCTCAGGCCTGCTAGACAAAAAGAATACTCAGTAAACAGATGCTATTGATATTTCTCTACACAGACGTCCGTCAGTGTCCTCACACGTAAACATGGGTAAACAGAGCTTATGAAAAAGGGAGATAGTAGGTGCTCACAGGAATGTGCACAGATATGTAGGTACGGCCACAAGACCCAGCGATCACCCTTCTGACTAGACTGCGGCTGGCTGTATCAGACAAAAGGAAGAATATATATATACATACACACACATTCATATATATATACATTCATATATATATATATATATATATATATATATACACACACACACATATATATATGCTGCGGGCCGCAGGAATATATCATAAGAACTCAGCTGGTTATGGCAAAGTCACTACCTGGAGGGATCAGGGAATTCCTCCAGAGGAAGCCAAATCCCAAGGAGTTTTTGGTGTTACTTGGCTTGTTATAGATCAGCTGTCTTCTGTTATGAAAATCATGTGTGCCTTCATAGTTTTC